GTCAGCTTGAGGTGGGGTGGGCTGGGGGTACGGCCACAAGGGAGCTCCATCCGTACGTGCATTGTTTACAGCTCCCTTGCGTGGCCAGAGTGACATCACATTCTGGCTCCCAGCACCTCTACAGGGAGTGCAAGGGAGCTGTACAAGCAATGCACATATGGATGGAGCTTCATCACAGCACAGAAGCCCACACGGAACCCCTAAAACATTTTTGGGAGGGTGTCTGTGGTTGTGTGTGTGTGTGTCTTGTCAGTGTTTTAATCGCAAACTACCATGCAATCACACCTACTGTTTATTCAGGCGTGGAAGGTGCGCTGTGTTGCAATTCTTTTGAATGGCACCCCAAACGCACCTCCCACCCACAGTTTGCTTGCACCAGAACATGCGGTACTGGAAAAAAACAAAAAAACAACAGTTTATTTCCCAGAAATCCAGTGTGCTCCCAAATTCATGTTTGTGCGAACAACACAGTGCCTCCAGCGTTGTTACTAACGCCTGCTGGACTACATCACTCCACCTTTGACTGGCCTTCTCTGTCCCAATACACGTGCATATATTGATTTCTATTCCAGCAAAAAAACAATGCTGCTGCTTTGACTCCTATGAGCCTGCCCGTATACTGTGTGGAGGGGCTCTTGGGAGATGTAGTTCTGGGGGGCGTACCTACAATAATAGGAATTGAGCTCCAGGCAGCTGTCCCTGCTAGAGTTTTACCATCCTGGTAATGTCACAGGAAGTCATGAAAGCCGTTTCTCGCTACAGGCACAAAGTAAAAGAAGAAATAATGCTGAGGCATGCTCTAGATGAGCAGAGGGAGGTTTGGGGATAAATTTAGTCCCAGTCTGTACATACACTTTAGAAAATCGCCTTTGTGGAGGAACCAGGCCTCTGTGGTCCTATGCACTTTTATCTTATACGGTGATCTTTGCAAGGAGAGGTCTGTAATTGTTCCGCAGTCACTAAATGGAAGCTTGAAGCAAATGCATTTCACATCTCTGATCCCTGTGTGGGGTTAAAATAGCCGGCTCGCTAAGCATTTTTCCCGATGAACCGGTCAGCACAGAAAAAGGCCAATCAACCGAGTCATTAGCAGGCTGGATGCTCTCAGAGACCATGCAGGGATGAAAGCCAAGTTATTCAATATTCACCTTTAAGCAAAACCAGATTGCAGTTCCCCTCGCTATCTCTAAAATTGCCTTTCCAGACCTACCACATGGGCTCTGGCCCCCGACCGAGACAAAGGCCCGTCATATTCTCTCCTGGGTACCGCTTTTGGCATTGGGTGGCGTTGTCTGTGTGTGTGTGACAGTGGAGAAGATGATTAGACGCATTTAACTCTGCTCTAACCTGATTAGAGATGTGCCAGTCTAATGGATTACATTTGTAAGAGGAAACATAACATGCAATCGACCTCAGTCCACCTCGCCTCTGAACTGCTGGCCTGGAGGACCGTTCCCTGCTCACAGTATCGGCTCCCTGGCAGGGCTGCGGTAGGAGTGTCAGGGGGAGCAGTGGCAGAGCTGCACTCTGACATCCCCATTAAATAGAGTGCAGAGACTGGAAGAGAGATAAAGACGGAGGATAGGAAAACGTTAGCGTGCAGAGAGTATATGCATGTGTGGAAGGTAAGTGAATGAGCCAACCAAGATTTATGGGGAACTGTACCTGACCATTCATACTAAAGCCATTATGGAATGATTAGAGAGGAGGGTAAGGCTTTAAGTCCAGTGAAAAATCAATAGTAGTGTCTGGAGGAATTCTATGGGGTGAGCAAGAGGCTATTTACGGGATGTTCACTGCTGCTATGGTTAGAGAACCAGAAGCCACGATATGCGAGGAGGGGGTAGTGAGGGTGAAAGGAAAGAAGAGTCCTTTCCACAGAAGCAAAGGGGACCTGTCTGTGCAATTACAAGGCTGGTAAATGGCAATAACCTCTTTAGATGGTTACCAAAATGACTGCCAGTTTGCCAAACTTGCCTATACACGTTCCCCCATGTAGGCTCACCATGCAGAATTAAAATTAGATGTTTGTATCCAATCTTGCTTGGTGAATAAGGGTCGGTGCACACTTAGGCGATTGCCGCGCGGTCAGAGTCGCCTAGGTGTGCACCGATCGCACTGTGGGTGCCTTTTCCAATGGCACCCCAGTCGCGCCAGGATGATCGCGCGGTTTCCCGCGAGTCGTGTGTACCTTTTTCTGCGATTGCCGCGTGGATGTCACCCCATTGAAATCATTGTACAGGACCGCGGATCAACCCCGGGGCTTAAAGAATAAAAATCCACAAAGCAAAGGGATCCCCGAAAGTGAACCTGTCATCCAGTAGTAGTTACTACCTACCAATATACAGTAAACTCCCTGTTATCCGGCATCCACGGGGATTGGTAGATTCCGGATAAATGTTGTTTCTGGTTGCTTGAGAGATGCTATTAAAAATAGGTCTAACTAATGCCGTACCCCATACTATAGCATACCATAAACTCTGTATTGACTTCATATTAATTATTGAAATGCAGCAATCAAAAACAAAGAAAAAGAAACACGATAATTTCCAGGATAATACCTGCCGCAGATCAGCGAGTACACAGGGGATTTGTTTTTTCTGGTTAGATGAGTTCTGGTTAGTTGAATCCCGGATAACAGAGGTTTACTGTATATTAGTTAGCTAGAAATGCAGTTGCTGTGCACCCCTCTGATCCTAGAATCCCGTCGCTCACTTCTTAAGCCCTGTCCATCATCTACCCACTCCCCAATGAAAACTCATAAGTAATCAATAGGGACTCACCGATTGGACAGGTGTATGTTGGGTGGGTTGGGTTTCAGTCTAGGACAGGGCTTCACCATAATGCTAGGTTCACACCTAGGCGACACCTCACTGCACGGCAATCCGTGCACGATTGCCGAGCGGCCAAGAGTCGCCAAGGTGTAAACCGACAGCGCTGTGGGTGCCATTATTTTCTAATGGCACCCCAGTCGCGCCGGGCGGATCGCGATGGATTTCACCCGTGCTTCTGAACAGTCGCACGTCGTGTATCTTGTACCTTTTTTGGCGATTGCCAAAATCAATTGAAATCAATGGGGCTGTGCAGCAATCGCTGCCTGCATTGTGCAGGACCGCACGACACCCGGGACGCGCTTCCCAGGTGTCGTGCGGTGTAGTGCAGTTGTGAACCTAGCCTAAAACAGACTAAAACTGCGATGTGCTCTATATGCTCTCTGCTTTTTGTACTGTGACCAAAATAACCAGTACACACAATGAAGTTTGAGCAACACTAGACCCTCCCCTCATCCAGCAAGCGTTAAGTAGGGAACGGATTTATTGTATTGCCAATAAAGACATGCAGCCAGGTGCCTATAACTGAATATGATGAAAATGTTAATTACAGTCACACCCGCCG